TTGTATTAGTTTTTTGTATTTAGTCAATTTTTTCTTGAAGATTTTGAATATTGTAAGCAAATAAATACCTTATTTTGAAAATAAATTCCTATGGATACTTCTTCATCATATACTTTTCTATGAAAATGTAAAAAAATTGAAAAGTTATTTAATCTCTATTTCCATTTTAAAAAAATTGTAAATATTTTGTAAATTTACTAAATTATTGTAAGGAAAAAAAAAATATATTCCCCTCACTTGTTTTTAAAAATAATTTTTTATTTTTCTTCTCTCCTACTGCCACCAATCATTAAGGCTATGCAAAATACTGCTCAATTTATTAAAATTGCGATCCGCCCGCTAACCACGTGTTAGTTTGATCCACAGTTTTAAATTTATAATCCGCATCTATATATATATATATTTTACTACTAATCAAATATTAAATTAAAATTAAAGTGTGAGAGATTTAAAATATGAAATTTGTTCTACATTAGTGTAATATTTATAAAAAAAATATTATATAAAATTAGTTTGTGTTATATATATAAAAAATATTATGTAAATTAATGTTATATTATTCAAATATTTAATAATTGTTTAATATTATTCTTTAATCAACTAACAAATTGAATTTGCCAATACTACAGTTTGGTTATTTCTTAATTCGACATTCACAATTTAGTTTTATAATGGCATTGCACATATCCCTACCAATCACTATTCATTACTCGTCACCATCGACACATCTCGCATCGACACCCATACCTCTCGCCACTCTTTAAAAACTACCTTCGACCATTACTACTGACAATTAGGACTGTACAAAATACTACCTAATCTGTTAAAATCACACCGATCTGTATTAATTCGCACCACTCTAACCTCTAACTGCGGTTTAAACTTTAAAATTTATAATCCGCTAACAGAACCGCTCCGCTCCGCTCCGCTATAGTTAATACATATATATTTTTTAACTTCTAATGAAATATCAATGTAAAAATGATGAAATTTATTACAAATTAGTAGTTATATAAATGAAACATATTATGTAAAATTATTTTGTGTTATATATCTAAAAAAATATTATACAAATTAGTGTTATATATTATGCAAATATATGATAATTAATTAGAATATTTTTCAATCTGTCAATCCACCAAAAATCGTCCAAATCGTAATTTATCAATCTACTAACCCGCCATTCAATTTATAATTTTATTTTCAAATCGTCCGAACCGCGCCACTCACACCCCTACTAGCAAACACCTTCACAAAAAAAAAAAAAAAAGAAAAGAAAAGACTATTCCCCAGGCATAAGAGGCCAAAATTTTATGGGTAAGGTGTTTGTATGATAGAAATTGTGTAGTGTGAAGTATGAAAGTAATCTAAGGCGTCCTTTGACATCTAATCATTTTAGTTTAAGAGTTAAAAAATCACTAAAAAATTAAAAAAAAAACTAACAATTTATCCTACAAACCTATCTACAATTTGAAATCACGTGCGTCTGATAAAAATCTACCATCCTGTCATTTTAGCCTAAAAGTCTAATAGGAGTAATAAGGATTTTTTCAGAATGAAAAAATGGTCAAGTCTAACCATGTATCTTCGTGGGTTGTTTTGGAAAGATAGTAAAGAGTAATTTTTTAGTTTTTAACCAAATTTTTAAGGTATGTTTGGTAACGTTTACGTTTTCAGTTTATATTTATAAAAATTTTATAATTAATTTTTGTTTATTTTTAGAAAAACATAAACTACAAACGCGTTTGGTAATTGACAAAATGTTTAAAAAAATTTAAAAATATAAAAAAGAGTGAGAAATGGCAAGTGGTGGCAAGTGGCCGCGGAAGACGGTGGTGGAAAGTGGTGACGGTAGGTGGTGGGTAGCTGGTGGTAGTGGGTGATGGCGGGTGGGTGGTGGTGGTGGGTGACGGTGGCGGGTGGTAGCGAGTGGGTGGTGGTGGTGGTGGTGGGTGCGGGTGGTGGTGGTGGGGTGTGTGGGTGGGTGAGCGATGGGGGTGGGTGGCGATTTGGGGTGGTGGCGAGTGGATCGGTGCTGGTGGTCGGGTGGTGGGTGGTGGTGGTGGTGGTAGTGGTGGTGGCGGCGGGGGTGATAAGGGATGGTAGCAAGTGGGTGCGGTGGTGGGTGGTAAAGGTGGTAGCGAATGGGGTGGGTGGGTGGTGGTGTGGTGTGGTGGTGGGTGCGTGGGTGGGTGGGTGACGGTGACGGATGGTAGTGGTAATCGGGTGTTGTGGTGGGTGGTGGTGAGTGGTGGGTGGTGGTGGCAGGTGGGGGGGGTGATGGTGGTGTGGTGGTGGCGGGTGGCTGGTGGTGACAGGTGGGTGGTGAGCGGTGGTGGCAAGTAAGTTGCGGGTGGTGGTAGCGAGCAGTGAATGGTAGTGGCAGGTGGTGGATGGTGGCGGGTGGATGATAGGTGGGTGGTGGTGGTGGTGGCGGCGGCGGCGAGGGGTGGGTCATGGTGGCGAGTGGGTAGTAGGTGGGTGGTGGTGGGTGGTGGGTTGATGGTGGGTGGTGGTGGTGGAGGATGGGTGGTGGTAGCGGAAGACGGTTGGCGTAAAATTTTTTTTATTTTTTGGTGATGAAAGGATGGTTGTATGTTGGGTGATAAAAAAAAAAAAAACTGAAAACTCAAAATGGAAACACATTTTTTGTGTTTTCATTTTTTGGCCAAATTTATAAACTGAGACCACTGATTTATAAATCAAAAATTTTACCAAACAAGTTTTTATTTGAGTTTTTTAAATTTTTGTAAATATAAACAGAAAACTGAAAACGTAAGTGTTACTAAACGGCACCTTAGCTTTTTTAGACAAATGATTTGAGAAGTTGATAAAAAGTAACTTTTGATTTTTTTTATTAATGTTTGTTTATGATGTCAAATCATAATAAAATGACTAAACTACTGCTATTTATTTAAAATATTTACAACTTCACCTATGTAACACATTTTGACCCATGAGGATAAAATTGTAATTTCACCATTAGCTAAAAACCAACTTCTCAAATGAAAAAAAAAAAACAAAAAAAACCAACTTTTAACTTTTGCTACAAATAAAAAAAAAAAAATGACTAAAACCCAACTTTTCAAAATAGCCCTATGTTTTCCCGCCAACCCACGAATTCCCATAGCCAAACGACAGGCTGCCGTGCCAGCGTATCATTTCACCAAACGACAGGCCGTCAATTCAGCGCATCATTTCACCTCCAGGTGAGTATAAATTCATAGCAAAACTATCAATTTACCTATTTCTTTATTTTATAAATTATTTCATTTCATTTTTTTTTATAAAAAATTATTCTAAGATCTCGTTTGAAAACTCTCTCTTTTAATTAAAAATTCAAAAAATTATTAAATTAGCTAAAAAATCAATAATTCATACAAAAAAATCAAAGATTCTCTTTTCTCTCAACTTTTTATACATCTTTTTGTAAAAAGCCAAAAAATCATCTCAGACATACTAATTTTTTTTAGCTCATATTTTAATCAAATAATTAAAAAGTTACTAAATTAGCCTGTTTCCAAACGAAGCCTAAATATACTAATTTTTTATCTCATATTTTAGTTAAAAAATTAAAAAATTATTAAAATAATTTATTTCCAAACGTGACGTAAGACATAGGGTTGTTTTGGGAAGATGGTAAAAAGTGACTTTTTGATTTTTAACCAAGCTTTTGACTTTTTTAGACAAATGATTTGGGAAGTTGGTAAAAAGTTACTTTTGACTTTTTTGATTAATATTTGTTTATGATGTCAAATCACATTACAATGACCAAACTACCCCCAATAATTTAAAATATTTACAACTTCATTCATGTTGCACATTTTGACCCATAAGGGGTAGAATTGTAATTTCACTAGCAGCTAAAAACCATCTTCCCAAATGGGAAAAAAATGCAAAAAGTTAACTTTTAGCTTTTGCTACAAACAAAAAAAAGTAACTAAAAGCCAACTTTCCAAAATAGCGCATAAATTAATGTTTTTGGATAAATTCAGAGTAAACTTTATCCAGACAAGTTTTTAAACGTACATCTATATCAAACATATATTATAAATTTTTGTTTTTACTATTTAAATATTAGCAGTTTTAGAGTTCCAGATAAAAAAAGACATAGAATTTATTGAAAATTTATGATGAATGACCAAGATTTATTCATGTTGTAATCCCACGTCAACATGTTTGAACAAGATCTAAAAACATGGGTAATTTTTTTGACTACTATTCTCAGATCGTAGACTTTCTGTTTAAATATTTGAATATATTTAATATTTTTTTTTTTTATAAATAAAAATAATAAACTTCAAGTTTGAACATGATCTAAAAACAAGGGTAATTTTTTGGATACTATTTTGGGATGGTAGACTTTCTGTTTAAATATATGAATTTATTTAATATTTTTTTTATAAATAAAAATAATAAATTGTGTTAACTAATTATGGTATATACGTCTCATAATTTAAGAAAAAAATAAAATTTTATATTTTTTGAGTCATAATTTTTTTTTAAAAAGTTATAACCAAATATCACATGACATATAATCAAAAATCTTATAAATGATAACTAAAATATTGTCATAATTTAAAAAAATTAGTTATAACTGAAAAAAAAAAAAAATCTATAAATTAGTTATTACTGAAAAAAAAAAAAAATTCTATATTGTGAATAAGTCATTTGGTGTCCAAGTTTTCTTTTTATGCCAAGTGTCCCTTATTTCTCAAAAAGAATATAAAAAATTAAATATTGAGACAGTAAAAGAGACTTGAACCTAAGACTACTGGTCAGGTAAGTAATACTTTTATTACTTGAATAATAGACACTATATATTTTTCATTCAAAATTAAAATTTATATTTTATAAATTTAATTACACACCCATCGGATGGACAAACATCTATTAGCGTAATTAAAAGTGTAGATGATATGGAGGCCTCTGGTAATTTGTCTAAACCGTGGACTTGCCAAATAACACCAAATTATTCAAATAAAAATTTGATAAAATCACAGCCAAAATTTCCCAACAACTGCACAATCTTGACTGAAAAAAATGCCTGTCCGCAACGCCACCCAAAAAACATGTTGTCCTCTGGCGTGTGTGAAACATCTTTACCTTTAAAAAAATGTTGGATTCAGAGAACAAGTCTTCAATGGAAATTTGTTACGTATATGCATTATGGGTGATGGGTCTTTACGCGTCCTCAAAGTGGCATCGACTAAGAATAACAACCCCTCTGTATTGGGTTCGTTGAATTTGAATCCTTTGTTCTTTCAATTTTCCATGTTTTTTTTAATATATATATGTACTGAATATGCATATGAAAATCGTGGGTTGTTGATTAAAGTTTGAAATAATCTATTGCATTGAACCTTCGTTGATTTCAAAAAATTGAAAATTACAGTCCAAGCATGTTCCGGTACTTCTTGGTTTGATTTCTTTATTGACTAATTTCTGCGTGTTCAAGGGTTTATATGTATCCTAAATGCTGGGTTTCTTCCCAAAATTAGTTGTTTTCTGGTATTGAAGAATGATTCTTGTATATGTCTGATTCACATTGTTTATTTATTGATGTTAGGTGTTTACTTAGATTGTGAGTCTCATCAAGATTACATTTCAAATAGTATGAAGTTCTTTGATCTTTTCATGTGAAGCACGCAGTCAATTTCATTGTAGTTTCTTCTTATGCTTGCGGGTGTTATCTGTTTTGTGTTCTATATTATATTTCTAGAATTCGTCATGGGTTGTGAAGTAGTTAGATAAATCATATTAGTTAGCAAATTTGAAACAGTTAAAATTGAAAGGGGTATTTTGATGGTTAACTAAAGGCAGTTACAGAAAGGGTAATTTGAAAGTGAAAAGTTGTGGAAAAGTGTTCACACCGAGTAAGTTGAACACTTTATATAATAATACAGATATTTTTTCCTATTTGTCTGGGGAGACTTTGTGCACAGGTCAAATCGAATCCGACAATGCTAGAGACTCAAAAAAAGTGTACAGAAAATTTTGGTTTAAATTTGAAATCTATGGATCAAATTCATTGCGGGTGATGCCCAGACCTATTCAAATTTGAATCACAACCATAAACTTCATTTTCTAGCCACTTTTCTATGGGTTTGTAGCTTTTCTGAATGGAATTTGTAGGGTGGTAGTAGACTATTGCTTATAATATATGCATTCTATTATATTGTATCTAAGAAGTATGGACACAATACACAATAATTCTAAAAAAAATTAAGAAATAGACATGGTGGAAATATGGCAAATTTGAGATATGTGTGTGTATTTTAAGACATGGCAAGAAACATAGCAAAAATTAAGACACACACATATGAGATATGTGTGTGTATTTTATTTTATTTTTCTCCTGTTTTTTTCTCTCTCTTTATTCCCATCTATTTTACTTGGACTCCAAATAAGCTTTCTAAAATTATTATTAAAAAAAATAAAAAGCCCTCTACTACAGTGTCCTGAGGCTTGTCCAAAAACAGGACATGCGTGTCCTACAAAAAATTAATAATTAAAAAAATTGACATGCCACGTGGTACATTGGACACGTGGACACACTTGTCCCGCCGCGTTAGACACGGACACGGTACCCATCTTGGAGTGTTGGTGCCTCTTAGAATTGTATTTACTTATTGTCTCTGGGTTTGAATTCAATTTCATTGAATTTTCATCATCTGCAGGTTCGGGGTGATCATGTCTTACCAAGTTTAGTATTCTTTCTAATTTCAGAGGTCAAAATACATGTTCAGTTAACATTGTTTTTGTGTGGACAGACTTTTTGTGCATGGGTCAAATTGAATTAGTTTGGTAGACTATTACTTGAAATTCCATTTTAGAAGCGAAGTCATTTTCATTGTATTTTCATCTGCTGCAGCTTGGGTTGATTTGATATCTGTTCAAAGTTTGCATTATTTTTCAAGAGCTCATTTAGCTTATTTCCTATTTATTTCATTAGAATTTTTCCATGGGTCAAATGCAATTAGCTGGGTAGACTCTTACTTACAGTTCATGAATTAATTACTTGTTCCTGCTCTTGTATTTTTGTGTTCGGCATTTCTGGCATAGAAAGGGTTGGTGAGTTTGAATTTTCTTGGAAATGCTTGTTGTGGTTCTTGGACATATTTGGTTTAAATCTCACCACTTTTTTTCCCAATTTAGATGATAATATTTGATAAGGATTATGTGACCTTATGAGAAGGTACTAGGAAGTTTGACAAGATTTATGTAGTTTCGAAGAAACTATGCAAGCAAGTCTATGTTTGGTCTGCTGATTGTTGGAGGGTCACGAGGACATTTTATTCTTTGTTTGTGCTTTTTATGTTTGATATAAAACCTGAACCAAGAAAAGTTTTGCTGACTTGTCAAAGGGAATAGATAACACCTCTGTAGTTCATTGAGCAATCAATACCTTGATTTGTAATATCTGTTCTTAATGTGTGGCTTAGTGTTCTCAAGCTGCCTTGCTGAACAATGATTTGATCGGATTGAATCTTTTTTTATAAATACAGTTGCATATGATGTTAAACTAAAAATAAAATAAAATATTAGGAAAAACTCTAATTTTCAGCACTGATCTGTCTTACCTCATTCTTGAATAGAAAATTGATTTACCTTGCAGGTCTAGAAAAATGAAATGAATTGTTTCAAGGCCAACCCTAACTGATTTATTTTTTTTAAAGAATGAAATTCACTTTTTTGATCCATTCACACCTACCAATTCGACATGGATTCAAGTTGTTTTATGGAATCATGGATTCGAGGATTTCAAATATTACAAGCAGGGTTCGTTTTTCCTTTTGGTCCTTTTAAAGTACGTATAATATGAAGGACTTGTATCAACATATGTATTAGTCCTGAAAAAGGTAGTAGCTAGGAAAGAACCTCCTTTAATTTTCCATGCATTGCAGAAGTCAAATAGGGTCACAGAGAGAAAAATGTGGAACAACCAAGAAATTAGGTAGATTTGTGGAAAATGGACTTGTTATGTTTTAATTTAACATGTAGAGGTGCATGAACGCATTGGTCTGACAGACAACTATTATCTAGAATTAAAACCCTGAAAATTGACAGATGGTGTGAACCGATGGATTTCACACGTGTTTCGATCCAAGGACCAACTAATGCCGAAAGTAGAGCATACTTCACTTCTTTTGACATTTTAGATGGATCCAAGTTGAGGATGACACATGCTTCTTAGTGATACACTGTGAAATGAGACTATATATTTGTCGGCATAGAGAGCATTATTATTACTACTCATCTCACATCAAAAAAAGAACTTTAGGAGGAGTGTCATTGAAGCAAGAAATTTAACCAAAAGATGTTCAAGGTTTCAACTTGCAGTTTTATGCCTTATCCAAATTTCTTGCAACCTAGGGCTAGGTAAATGATTTGAGTCTATGAAATTTTAAGCAGTTTTTAATGCTCTTTTGTGACAAAGTCTTGCACGCCATTGATTACACATGCGTTGCACTTACGGTATTCTGTTCTTGTTTATTGATTGTTATGCAGCTTGAAAGGCCAAAAGGATGCAATCGGTTTGTAGACACCTTTCATTTTTCAAAGCTAGTTGTTGTTGTTGGTTGTTCTGTTTTGTTTTTGTTCTAGATTTATTAGCAATCACCAAAAATGCATGCAGTCACTGATCGTTGTACAAAGGTAGCTCGCAATTTCAACATGGAAAGGTTGCGAAATAACTACTTGTTTCCTGAGGTTTGTGGCTTTTGACATCTATACTTGTATGTTTTGGTGTATTTTGGTGAATATTCTTCTTCTTTCCCTTCATGAAAACATTGTTTCCTTTCAATTTTTCTCCTTCCTCCATCGCGATCATTACTGGTTTAATTTGGTGAGGTTCAAAATTCGAAGTATGAATGTTGTACAAAGTTCATAATAATAAAAATTTAATTTGTTTTTGATTTTGAAGTGCATGATTTTCTTTCCTTTGTTTGTCCATCTGTTGGGTGTCCTAACATTCAACAATACAATTGTGTAGCTTGTTTATCAATAGTTAAAATGGTATTCTACATGTATACCTTTTGAGTTCTTTTCGGTGACCTCAAATATTCTATTGTTGTGACAATACTCGTTACATTACAGATATCAGCACGTGAACTTGAACACATTAAGAAGTACCCAAATGCAGAAGTGATACGCCTCGGGATAGGTGACACCACGGAGCCAATACCAGATATAATAACTTCGGCCATGTCTGATGTAAGTTCCACTAATCAATTTTGATTTGTTTGTATCTGTTGCACTTGAACGTGGGTTTTCTTAAGAGATTGGAACATATGGGCTTTGTTTGGTTTATTTTTCAGAAATTTTTTTGGGAAAAATTCTCTACAAATAAATTTTCAAGAGTAATCAAATCAAACAAATTTTTTCAAAAAAAATCTCAAAATTTTGTTTGGTTACTTACTTTCCAAAATCACTCTCTCTCTCATACACATCAAATCAATCATTTTTTTTAAAACTCTCTTTCCAAAACAATTTTTCAAAACCATTTCTGAAAAAAGGCAAACCAAACAAGCTTTCGTACTTTTTATCTCAAAAACTACTCTGTAAACACAAACCAAACACACCCATGACCTTTCTAACCTGCTTGAAATCTTTTAAACGAGACATGTCTGTGTTTGTTTTCATGACTCTGTATGTGTCTATTGATTTTGATAGTTCTTCAAATTATGTTTGGATTATTTATGGGACCATTTGATTGCTCTTTTCATCTAGTTGATAGGAGATACGTAATTTGCAACATTCTAGTGCAAGGATTTTAGGCACTCTTGTATCAATCCTTACGCTGATTAGATGAAAAAGAAAAAGGTTCACAATACGTGGATGCTCAAGATTGGACAGGTTTCAATTAAAGAAATTATTATCAAACAAAAATTGAGCATATTGTGTCTAAACCAATAATCTTTCCCTTCATCACGTATTCTATGGTTACGAAGATTGTTGTGCGACATGGGTACTGGTTGATATATGGACGAAAGCTGGAAGTGTTTTGTTTAGTGGGAAACGAGAATGAAACAAGAAAAGAGTAAAAGAAAGGAAGAAAGAAGGAAAGAATGAATTGAAATATATATATGTGAAGAAGCAGAATTGCTTGATAATGGTTGCATTAGTTATTTATATATTCCCTTAATTTGGCCAACCATATGGTACTTTTCAATTGGATGTCAGAGAAAATAGGTTGCTGTGCACTAGAAAAACAATTCTGATAATATTGTGTGTTGTAATAAGGCCTGATTTTGCCTATGTAACAAGAAATTTGAAGTACATCAGCCCAGAAATATGCAGAGTATAATTAAATTTAATGAAAAGCCCTTAGAATGTTATTGTTTAACTTGTTCTTACAGACATAATTTTCCAAAAGTAACCTAATACATATGCATAGGACAAAGACACAGGATAATTTAATCACTGCTATTTTGTCTTGCAGTGTGCACGTTCCCTTTCAACGCCTGATGGTTATAGAGGGTATGGAGCTGAGCAAGGAGACAAGGTAATGTGTTGTTTTTGTTGTTTCTTATGATCCAATCTCCATCCAGTGCCTTACTTTCATTTTTTCAACCCATAACACTTTGTCAATTGTTGAATTGAAAATTCTTCTCTGTTTTTCATCATTACTTTCATTTTTTCAACCTATGACACTGACAATTGTGAAGTTGTAATTCTTTTACCTTTTTCATTTGTTTGTATGTTGAAGGAGTTAATATATAGTATATTCTCTGTCCAGGCATTACGGAAAGCAATTGCGCAAACATTCTATGGAGATCTAGCAGTAAGAGATACAGAGGTTTTCGTATCAGATGGTTCACAGTGTGATATTTCTCGCCTTCAGGTAATTAACCATTCGAGGTCAAAACATGTTTGATTCTCTCTCTCTCTCTGTCTCTCTCTCTCTCTCATGATAGTTACTGAATTAGGTAATATGGTCTCTATCTTAAACTAGTACACAACTGGATATAACATGGCATTTGATAAAGTTCAGTTTACGACAGAAGTAACGCTGATGGTTTTTGTATTTCTGTTTCACAGCTGCTTCTGGGTTCCAATGTGACAATTGCTCTACAGGATCCATCATTTCCGGTGATATTACATGCTTAAATATTTTTCATTTTTCTCCTTTTCACATTCTTGCATTTACATGTTAGCAGTGAATTAATGATAATAGAACCATTCTGAATATTGGTGTACAATTGTTAGCAATGGCCTTGATCACTCAATACTATATGCTCTCTTCTAGTTGTGTTGGTTGACCTTTCTTGCTATCTCTCTGTTCGGAGCAAAAAAGAAACTGAAGTTTGTTCTAGGAAGTTGGTACAAGCATTAATCATCAAATGATATTTCTAATAACAGCCAGTTATCTAACCCCGCCAGCAGTATAACTTAAATTGTTGAATTATTCAACTCACAGCCTTTTGTGAATATATCCAACTCGTGCTTTTATTTTTTGAAATAGTGCATATCACTGCTTTAGTAACAATAGAATTTTGATGAAGATGTGCTTTGGAACAGGCTTACATAGATTCAAGTGTCATAATTGGTCAGGCTGGTGATTTCCAATATAAAACTGGGAAGTATCGGAACATTGAGTACATGAAATGTGGGCCTAAGAATAATTTCTTTCCTGATTTGTCAAACACTTCTAGAACAGACATCATTTTCTTCTGCTCTCCGAATAATCCAACTGGCCACGCTGCATCAAGGGAGCAATTAGAGCAACTCGTGGAATTTGCCAGGGAAAATGGATCAATCATTGTATACGACTCTGCTTATGCTGCTTACATCACAGATAAAAGTCCTCGATCAATATATGAAATTCCTGGAGCCAGAGAAGTAAGCACTTCCACAGATCATTTTTTTAAAAGATACTCTTTATTTCCTGTTTCGTTAGATATTTATGTTTGACATTGTTTTGGTGGTTCAGTGTAAAATCAGCTGAATACTTTTTCTCATTTTTCCCTGTCCTGTTTTTCGTCTGATGATATGATTTTCTCATTCACGGGGTAGAATAGAATTTTGTCAAACAATCTCATATCCAAAGAGTAAATTATACGAGGAACTTCTGAACTTTGTACCTTTTTCAATTAAGTTCCTAAATAAAATTTTCATTCAAATAAGCCCTCTAATTTTCCAAATTGGTCCAATTTAATCATTTTGTTACATTCTATCCACTTTTGACAGTTAAGTATATTGTACAGGATAAACCTGTAGAATAGATTGATAAAATTAACCCTAAAATTCTTTTTCCTAGTATAAAAACAAAACCTTTATCAACCTCAAAAACCTATACTTGTGAAAAAGGTGTTGGTTCTATGTTTTTTTTTTTTTTTTGGTTGGGAAAATGAATTTCTGATTAATTTTACCAATTTAATCTTCAGACAGGTTCATATAATGTATTTAATGGCAAGAAGTAGGCAGAATGCAAGGGAAGGGTTACATTGAACCAATTTAGAAAGTTAGAAGGCTTTAATTGAGTGAAAATTTAGTTTAAGGGCTAATTGAAAAAGGATGCAAAGTTCAAGGGCTTTTGGTATAATTTACTTAGCTCCAAAGTGTCAAGCATGCCTCTTAACCCTATTTGAGTTATGTACTATTTGAGTCTGTTTATATATAACCCATTCTTGTTTTGGTTTATTATCTGTAAATGTGTTTACTGTAATGGCTAACAAATATTATAGCTCATCATTTTGCTTCAGAGCCAATGACACATCATAATATTGTCATCTAACTTGGCTTCGAGTACTTTATAGGTTGCAATTGAAGTTTCATCGTTCTCCAAAAGTGCTGGATTCACTGGTGTCCGTCTTGGTTGGACTGTGGTACCCGAGGAGCTCTTGTTTTCAAGTGGGTTTCCTGTCGTAAATGATTTCAATCGCATCATATGCACCTGCTTTAATGGCGCTTCCATCATAGCTCAGGCTGGTGGGTTAGCATGTCTCTCCCCGGAGGGTTACAAGGTAAGTTTTTCGTAGCCGTGATCATGTTTATGAATCTTATTTGGCTTTCATATTTGGCATTTTGTGCATCTAAAATCTAAAAACCTAAAATGAGCCAACTTTGAGGGTGTCTTGAAAGGACCAAACTGATTTCAGTCTCGTGTGAACCATACAAGAAATCAAGATCATGAAGCCAGTACCACCAATATTGCAGCCGTAGAACTCTACAATTACACTGACTTGTTTAACACTGTACTTCGATTATGTTGGCACCTGCTTTAACGGTGCTTCCATCATAGCTCAGGCTGGTGGGTTAGCATGCCTCTCCCCGGAGGGTTACAAGGTAAGTTTTTCGTAGCCGTGATCATGTTTATGAATCTTATTTGGCTTTCATATTTGGCATTTTGTGCATCTAAAATCTAAAAACCTAAAATGAGCCAACTTTGAGGGTGTCTTGAAAGGACCAAACTGATTTCAGTCTCGTAGTAACCATACAAGAAATCAAGATCATGAAGCCAGTACCACCAATATTGCAGCCGTAGAACTCTACAATTACACTGACTTGTTTAACACTATACTTCGATTATGTTGTTCTAAAAGGAAAGTCGGCTCTAACAGTTCTGTTGGGCTTATTTTTGCCTTTAGCGAACTTTTTTTGAAATTTTCATGGCCATCTAGTCTAGATACACCTTATAATAAGCCAAATTTTGTCGAATCTTTGTTTCATGTTGTTCAAAAAAAAAAATTCAACAAAGACAAAAGTAAGTCTAAAAACAACACAACTTATAAGTTGCAGCCAAAAGAAAAAGCAGCTAGCAATAAACTTCTTAGAATTTTGAGACTAAAATGTCATCTGGTAAGCCACTTCCAAACGCAGCCTTTTGCTTTTCGGTATTCTTGATTTATTCTCCTCCTAAACCTCCTCTTTCAGGCAATGCTCTCTGTGGTAGACTACTACAAGGAGAATGCTCAAATACTGCTCGACACTTTCGCTTCTTTAGGCTTGAAGGCATATGGTGGTGTAAATGCACCATATGTTTGGGTTCATTTTCCAGGTTCAAGATCTTGGGATGTTTTCAGTGAGATTCTCGAAAAGACACACATAATTACGGTTCCGGGAAGTGGGTTTGGTCCACGAGGCGAAGAGTTTATTAGGGTTACAACCTTTGGACGCAGAGAAACCATCCTGGAAGCCTCAGCAAGGCTAAAGAGCCTTTTTCCATAGACAAATGTTTCATCTTTCTATTAATTTCTCACATCTATGTTAAAATAAAGCAAATTGAGGTTCATAGACTGACCCCAATTTTGATGTTTGTGTTTGTAAAATTTCATTGAGCTATAATAAAAGTAAGCTAAATAATTTCAGGCATATATATACAGTTCTGTGAATCTGAGGAAAATTTAGAGTTTGTTGTTGAATGGGACTCTCATGGCCCCAAGTTCTCATAGGCCTTTGTGTTGTGTTCCCTATACTCCTGTTGACATCCCAATGCGAGAAAGATGCATTTTCCCCCCTCCCCCGCCCTAGGATTTGTAACGTGACGGTCATTGTGATTAGGTTGATTGATTGATCAACCTCACCAATCCGGGGTTTTTTTTCATATCAGAAGAGCAACATGACCCATGCTTTACATTAGTGGTATTGAAATTCTCATAAATTTAAGTCATGGAATTTGGGTTAGCAATCATGCAGTAGCTGTTGAAATGAAACATAGGCATCAAGAATGCTATTTTTTTGAGGTTGGTGAATATCAATGTGAAGGCATCTCATCAGTTGTGGGTTATGAATACATCACTAAAGTTACTCTGCAAGGTCATGTTTGGTTTGATTTTTAGAAACTTGTTGCAGAATTTATTTATTTTTTAAATCTAAAAATTATTTTGGTAAAGGAAATAAAAAAAAATCAAGAATGATTATTATTTTTATATGATTTTATCTTTTAGGAGGTCAAAAATAATTTTTAAAAATTTAAAATTATATGTTTGATTTTATTTTCATTAAGCTAATTTTAATTTTTCAAAAAAAATTCTAATTTTTTTTTTCTGAAACACAAATCAAACAAAGTTTCTAAATATCCCCACAAAAAATCTTTGTATTCGGACATATTTATTTTTTATTCTAATTTTAGCTTATCATAAAATACCAATTTTACTATCATTCCTATCCTTTCAAATCATAATCCTAATCCCTCCCCACCCACCACTGCCACCACCACCACCGGCCACCCTCCTACCCTTTCCCAGCTCTAGTTCCCAGCTCCAGCCCATTTTTACTTCTGGCTGCCACCCCCAAACGATTCCCAAGCTTCCCTGCCATCCTCTCCACCTTCAGCCACACAACCCAATCCGTCTCCATCATTAGCCACACACCTTGCAACCCCCCAATATTCCGTCCAATCTCAACTCACTCACTTCCACTCGAAATCCTAGCATCACCCCCTCCCATCATTTTTTAAACCCTAGTTGGCGCCACATCTTACCATTTTTTAAACTCTAGAGCTGTGAAAGAAATACATTGGGGAAGAAAATGGGAGATGGCAGTGGTGAAGGGGTTGGGGTGAAAGGGATCGTAGCAGTGAAAGGATTGCAGAAAAGGGGGTCACAGTCGTGAAGGGGATGGAGGAGGAAGGTTGCAGTAGGAGACAGACTGGGGAGGGAGGAGGGTTGCGGAGTTGGGGGTGATGGTGGATGGCTTGGGGAACATAGGAAGGGGCTAAGGGCTGGCGGCAAGAGCTAGGGAGGGGTGGGCAGGGTGGCTAGAGCCAATGGTGGTGGGGTAGGAGTTAATTTGGTATTAATAAGTTAAGATCATTCAACTAGCTGAAGCTCACACAAAGAGGTCAGTTGTCTAGATTAACTGAATGCAAAACGCAAATAAAATCTCGAAAAGCAACAGACACAAGACAAATCATTTTGCTGTAATAAAAGTTGATGAAAACATGCTCAAATATATTTAATTTGAGTTTACACAATTCCGTAAGTGAACATGCAGCTGATCTCTACAACAATGCCGGAAAATGATTGGCAGATTGATCCTTTACAAGAAAAGGATATGTCATACATACCACATAACATGACCACCCTCGTCAAATGATGCATCAATTGAAGGGTTCAAATGTACAGTTCTAAAGTCGAGAAAGATAAAGTGATATTTAATAATAGTTGAGGTGTTAAAGTGTAATTACCCCATAATATAATTCTAGATATCAAGGGTTAGGCAATTGACAAGTTCCTCAGAACCAGCACTCCTAGTGGCAATGACCTTCCATTCATTTGACTCAGAACCTACCAAGTCATCATCATCCTCATCATCATCATCTAGAGAGGTTGATGAAGTTGAAGCCAAAGAACTCAAATGGTCTCGTCTTTCAGCCTGCATGACAGCAATGTTGTGATTCGTGTCTTTCGTGATCACATGAAGCTTCCCAAGAAAACCAGCAAGCAGACAAGGCAACTCAGCATCAGCAAAATCGCGGATACGGACATCTCCTGCAACCACTTTCCAAGAATCATCTACATGATTATAAACTTTGATCATAGCACTATTCAAAAAACTCGAAGGATCCAAAGCGTACAAGTCATCATTGACAATGACACTCAATTTGGTTCCTGCTTGCCTTGCAGGCCACCCCTCTCCCATGCCAACCGGCATTTCAACCCATGAATTTGTTTCCGGATCATAAACCTCCCCTCCAACATCAACGAAAAAAGGCCAACAATATAAACTCTGAGGCACATATAGTTTCCCTCTATATGATGTCATTCCAGTCGCTATAGGTTTAAGCAAATTGGCCAAAAAAGCAGTTGGTAGCACCTGAGTCTGTGAAAACGGCATGCTTGGGACTTGGGACCATAGGCCAGTACAAGGATCGAACACTTCAGCTGTCTGAAGAGGGGTTAGTCCTCTGCGGCCCCTAGTAACCCCTCCAACAACATAAAGCTTTTTGTTTAACACGCCTGTCTTACAGTAGGCTCGACCTATGGACATGGGGCTCATTTCAGCCCAGTTGTTCAGAATTGGATGATAACGCCATACACAACTCAAGGTCGATGCTTTAGAAAATCCTCCTAGCACATATATGCAGCCATTGACAGCCCCAACAGCACAACCACAAAAGGGCATCCGATCCAATGAATCCTTCCTCCCAAGCCAGCCCCTTATGGCATCTGCAGCTCTGAAGCTCGATCCCACCATCTTGCACATCCGAAGGCCATATAGGCCCCTTCTAGATCCTTCTTCTCCAGTGAAATTGGGCATCGGTGGCAGCCTCTGCCATTTTCTGGACTGTGGGTCTAAAGCATGCCACATCAGCTTATCATTTTCAACCTTTGTCAAAACATAGAGCCACTCTTCCGTTGTTCCAAGTTCTTTTCTGACTTCATAAAGCTCGGTACTCAAAATAGCTGCTTTCCAACTCCTTGAGACTAGTTTTACACTCAAGTAGCAACTTCTAGGAAGTCTGGCAAGAATCTGTATTGATATCTCATCAGGAAGCATCGGAATTAGCCGTGGGTTCTCATCATAAAAGCTTGAAGATATCCTCTGCCTTTTGGAGGTTTCGCCCTGTGGAACATCATAGAGCTCGCTATTTCTAGCCCTAGAACTCAATATAGTCCCCATCAGAATCTGTCTTGCCACTTCCAATCACGACTAGAAACAATAGCGTGCAGCCTCGGAAGTCAACCCTTCTTGTTTAGGACTAGGTTCATGCGTCATAAGATCATCGCATTTCTATTTGAAATCGCCAGCAATAAAGCTGAGCTCACAACAGCACGGAAGGGGTGTGAGAATGGAAGGTCATGGGTATCAAATATCAAACCCTTAATTAAATTGCATTTGAAATAATATAAGTCTATAACAGTTAAAATTGCAATATCTCCCCTCTGGCAGAGTGATATGGTTATATAAACACAATTCATATACAAAGCCTTCAACAAAGAACATTACCACTGATTTGTAGTTTCAACAGATACTGAATAACTAAAACTATCAAGCCCCATTTTTGGTTTTCTAAAGTAAAACTAAAATTTCAAATTTACAATACACTCCAATTAATAAGACATTAAATATATATATATATAGCAGCAAAATCCCAGTAAATCAAAATGCAAGGTGCTTGGAATTTTTTACAAACCAGAACTATTTTGAATTTGATCAACAAAAAGAAAAGTGCCTCGTATTAAGTAATAGTATTAGTAAACAAAACAAATGTAAGGGGAAAATAGACACCTGTTTGTGCTAAGCTCCAACATTTGGAAGCCAATGATATGATTGATATGAAATAGCAAATTGTTAACTGTACCTTTTGATATTGTATAAAAAAGAAAAGAGTAGCCCTGTTTTAAAATTTTCAAGAGATTGACTATAAATTCATTGGTAAATTATTAGAATACCCAAGTTGGAGCAAAACAATCGGGGATTAATTTTAAATTAAATAATGCTACATGTCACTATGCTCCATTTGGCTGGTGAGAAAGTTTATTTATAAAGATGACAACATCGAATCTCAGATTTACCCTTGTTTGCAACCGGATTAAACAAAAAATAAAAATAAAAAATTACTCGTACAGCTTCACAAAACCACAAGGCAAGGTTCAGATTGAATTTTCATTTCTTAAGATCACACACAATGAAATATAAGATCAGAAATCATTCACTTTCTTTAGTTAACAACCAAACATGGAAGTAAATACAAGTTAACAAGTGAATTGAGATTTCAGATGCTTTTAAATAGAAAGGAAACCAAAATACCCATTTCTCATATCTCAACCACAAGTGCTTTTGACTTTTTTTCCCCATTTAAGCAACACTAGTTTTGAATTTTATCAACTAAAGAACAGCAAACCCATATGTAACACAACCAAATAGCAAAAAGTTCAGCTGGCAGAAAAAATAATTTCCTAATAGAAATGAAAAAAATTCAACAATATAACAACAAAAAAATTCCCAGAACACACGGCTAATTCTCACATTTTCTCGAGAAAAAGTCTTCCAAAGAAAAGTTATGACAAGATGAGAACTCAGCAGGTGACATCAGTCAAGAAATCAAAGAATTGGAATAATTTACACCCAAATTTTTTTTTTACAAAAGACATAAATTTCACATGCAAGCAAATCCCATTAACATGAACACAGTACATAAATTCAAATAAAATTCATTGGATACACACAGACCCGCCTATACATACATTCACGAATTCAATTGTGTAAAGGAATTACCTTTCTGAGAGGAAAGAATTAGAAATAGGAACTGAAATTAGGGTTTGAGAGCACAGACTAGGAGAATTCGTATATTTGGGTAATTTCTCAGCCACCGAGCTACAGACCTTTCCACTTCATGGCTTCCAGCATTTTGGGACTCTTATGTATTTTTATTAATAATTATTTAAAAAATAAAAAAGTGAAGTAAAAGAAATAATTATAAAAATATGAAGGGGAAATTACATTGACACCCTCTGAGGTTTATATTTATTACAGTTTTTCCTCACGTTCTGGAAATTACATCTCCCCTGAGGTTTCAAGTTTCATTACAGATTCCTTCTTCAGCAATTTAATTTTTTTAAATACCAATTTTGCTCTCACTTGGTAAATTGCATTGATACTCCTCAAATTTTACAAATTACAATCCCCTCCCTAGAGTTTAAAGTAGCATTACCAATTGCCCCCGGGTTAATATTTGTTGGAAAAAAAATTATTTGAGAAAAAATTATTTGAAAAAAATTTTGTTAGTAAAATTTTTAAATTGCTATTTAAAAACCAACATAAACTCATTTTTTGAATTTATGTTTTTTCCTCAAATTTACAAACTGAGACAACAATTTATAAACCAAAAAAATTATCAAACAAGTTTTTATGACAACTTTTTAAATTTTTGTAAATATAAATTGAAAACTAAAAATGAAATGGTTACCAAACAGGCTTCAGATAGTAAAAATGTCGTAAAATTAACAAATAATTAAGTTTTTATGACCACTTTTTAAATTTTTGTAAATATAAATTGAAAACTAAAAATGAAATGGTTACCAAACAGGCCTCAGATAGTAAAAATGTCGTAAAATTAACAAATAATTAAATAAGTTACCAACGTAAGAAATGACTTATCAAAAGATTCTTAAACTATGTATGGTTTGATTTTTAGAATTTTTTTAAAAAAATTAGAAATTAATTTGGTTAAGAAATAAAAAAATAAAAAATAATTATCATTTAAGGGTAAAAAATAATCATCATTTTAACTTTTAGGCAGGTTATATATATGCGTATGACTGTTTCAATTTAATTTGTAAAAAATTATTTCTAAAAGTTCAAAAATAAAAATTATATAAAAATAATAATTATTTTTTATTTTTTTATTTCTTAACCAAATTAATTTTTAATTTTTTTTTAAAAAAAATTCTAAAAATCAAACCATACATAGTCTAAGAATCTTTTAATAAGTCATTTCTTACGTTGGTAACTTATTTAATTATTTGTCAATTTTACGATATTTTTACCATCTGAAACTTGTTTGGTAATCATTTCGTTTTCAATTTTCAATTTATATTTACAAAAATTTTAAAAACTGTCATAAAAATTTGTTTGATAATTCTTTTTAGTTTATAAATGATTGTCTCAGTTTGTAAATTTGAGAAAAAATTGTAAATTCAAAAAATGAGTTTACGTTGGTTTTTAAACAAAAATTTAAAAATTTTACTAACAATTTTTTTTTTCAATTAATTTTTTTTCCAATTAAATTTTTTTTTTTCAATTATTTTTTTCTAATTAATACTAACCGAGGGGACAATTGGTAATGCTACTTTAAACCATAGGAAGGGGATTGTAATTTCTAAAATGTAAGGGGTGTCAATGTAATTTACCTAGCGAGGGCAAAATTGGTATTTAAAAAATTAAATTGTTGAATGGGGGAATCTGTAATGAAATTTTAAATCTCAGGGGGAGATGTAATTTCCAAAACGTGAGGGAGAAGCTGTAATAAACATATACCTCATGAGGTGTTAGTGTAATTTACCCAAATATGAAAAATATTGTGAAATATTTAAATAACCATGAGATCTATCTATCTATCTATATTATATATGGGAGTTCTAATATTTCAATATGAATTTTTAAAATTTTTTATTTAAAAAAAAACTCAGCATTTATTAATTTGGTCAAAATTTTCTGATCAGCATTTATTAACTTTTTTCCATCCACATGTCTTTCTACATGCCTGCATTTATTGATTTAATTAAAATCTCCTGATCAGCATTTAAAATCTCCTCATACAAATAATTATAGATACAACTCGTGTATAGTTATTACAATACCCTTTTTAATAAAAAAAAAACCTCAACATTTATTGATTTTGTCAAAATTTTCTAATCAGCATTTATTAACTTTTTTCAATTCATATGTCTTTCCACATGCCTGCATTTATTGATTCCTAATCAGCATTTAAAATCCCCTCATACAAATAATTATAGATATAACTCGTGCATAGTTATTGCAGTACCCTTTTTAACTTCTCTCATACATTATGATTAGTGATAAAATTGTTAAATTATTTTTATAAAAAACCTTTAAAAACATAATTTATATATTAAGAAAATCTAAAACAAAAATAAATATATATAATTATCTAGTGCATAGCACGGGTGATAGGCTAGTATGATTTGAATTGAAGAGTATTTTTTTTATATAAAAGACATATAGTAGAAAGTGGTAGAAATTTGAAGACTTAGAGCATCCACAATGGGATAGTTAAAATTGTTTGTTAAAGTGTGTTATATAACAAAAAGTGATAAAAGTGAGCCTCAAAAATATGTGTTAAGGTGTATTAAAAGTTTGTTAATTTTAAAGAGTGAGTAGTAGTACAATGGATATGTTAATGTGTGTGTTAAGATATATATTAACTATATATATATATAAATAAATAAAATAAATAAATATATATATATATATATAACCATGATGATGGCTCGAATATTATATATATATAAATAACTTCATACAAGACTTCTTCTTCAAAGCTCTTCTGATAGATTGAATATTATATACATATAGAAATAACTTTTTACAGGTGATGTTCTTCAGGTCTTCTTCTTCACTGCAATTTCAAAGCTCTTCCTCACTGTAATTTTCTTTTTTTATTTGGTCCGGACGACCGACCGTTTTTTTTTAATTTTATTTGGAGGGATGACCGGCCGGATGACCCCATGGTACTTCCCAAGTCCCCTCTTGCCCTTTCGCTGGCTAAAGTGCTAGTCATAGTTAACACACAACTTAACACACAAAACTAACAACTGACACTAACAGACCATTTAGCTAGTCCATTGCAACACAAAATAGTGTTTTGAACTAGCTAAAAATTAGCAACTGAGACTAACACAGCATTTAGCTACTCCATTGCTGATACTCTTAGGGCATCCACAATGGGATAGTCAAAATTGTTTGTTAAAGTGTGTGTTATATAACAAAAAGTGATAAAAGTAGGGCCCAAAAATGTTTGTTAAGATGTGTTAAGAGTTTGTTAATTTTAGAGAGTGAGTGGTGGTGCAATGGATGTGTTAAGGAGTGTGTTAAATATATATATATATATGTATATAATAAATAAAATAAATAAATAATTTAGTTTAATAAAAAATTTCAAACCCAAAATTAAATTTCAAGTCCAAAAAAAAAATCCCAACAAGTTAAAAAAAAAAAAAAACCGTTGACTGGGTCAACCGGCCGAACGTCCGGCCGGTCAACCCGGAAGACAAACAAAACACTTCCAAGCGCTAGCTAAAGCGCTAACCGTACTTAACAAACTTTTTAATACACACGACTAACAGACACCACTAACACACACTAACTGATCCACTGCAGCACCCAACAACACACTTTGCTAGTTAAAATTTACCAACTGACACTAAAACTCTCCTTAGCAGCTCCACTGCGGATGCCCTTAGAACACGGCTCCTGACCTCATACATTATGATGTCATTGAACATGTCACATGCATTAATTGATTTGCTTATAAAAATAAAGATAATGTTAGAGATATCAAATTTGTTACCAAATAAATGACGAGTGCTGCTATTATATTAAGTAAAACGGGATTTTTAACCCCTAAGGCCTATGGAAGCTCCAATATTCCAATCTGAATTTTTAAAATTTTTTATTTAAAAAAAAAAACTCAGCATCTATTGATTTGGCCAAAATCCCCTGATCAGCATTTATTAACTTTTTTCAATCCACATGCTTTTCCACATGCCTGCATTTTTTGATTTGGTTAAAATCCCCTGATCAGTATTTAAAATCCTCTCAGATAAATAATTATAGATGCAATTCGTGCATAGTTATTGCAATACCATTTTTAATTAAAAAAAATTCAGCATTTATGGATTTTGTCAAAATCTCCTGATCAGCATTTATTAACTTTTTTCAATCTACATGTCTTTCCATATGCCTGCATTTATTAATTTGGTTAAAATTCCCTAATCAACATTTAAAATTTCCTTATACAAATAATTATAGATACAACTCGTGTATAGTTATTGCAGTATCTTTTTTAACTTCTCTCATACACTATGGTTAGTGATAAAATTGTTAAATTATTTTTATAAAAAATATTTTAAAATATAATTTATATATTAAAAAAATCTAAAACAAAAATAAATATTCATAATTATCCTGTGCATAGCACGGGTGATAGGTTAGGATAATTAATTGAAGAGTATTTTTTTATATAAAAGACATATAGTAGAAAGTGGTAGAAGCTTGAAGACTTAGAACATGGCTCGTGACCTCATACACTATGATGTCATTTAACATGTCACATGCATTGATTGATTTGCTATAAAAATAAAGATAATGTTAGAGATATCAAATTTGTTACCAAATAAATGATGAGTGCTACTATTAGTATCATATAAATTATTCAACGCTGCTATAGGGCCCGAATATTTCAAGCTCGAAATTGGCTCGAAACCCAAAACGACGTCGTTTTGGATTCTCTTACCGGTAAGAGAATGGTAAGAGAATTGTAATATATCTTACCGGTAAGAGAATTTTATTACATGTTATCGGTAAGAGAATCCAAAACGACGTCGTTTTGACTATCGAGCCAAACAATTTCGGGCCCTCAAACATTTTTCTAAATCATTTTAAACTTCCAATTTTTAATCTTTTTTTATTACAATAATAGTCTCAAATAAAATTACTACAAAGGACATTATTAATTTTGGGACACTCCATCTCATAATTAAACATACACACCTACTACATCACGAATTAGGGTTTATGAGAGCAACCACCTCCATCACCACCTATCCATCTTCTCCAAATCACACATTCAAAATCTATCCACCCTCAAAATCTTGAAAATCCTTTGGCAGTTATATTCCGAC